CACAGGAAGTCGTCGCCGTGAGCCTTGTCGAAGGCCTCCTTACGCTCCTGTGTGTAGCGACCAGTTGGTACGAATGGTGGGGGTGTTGGCGAGAGCTTCGGCATCGTAGCGAGAGGGTCCCCCGTGATGTGGCGTTCTATGCGGAACTTCTCCGGGCACGTCCCGAGGACTGCACGCACCTTCTGCGCGACGGGCTTGTACTTCTTCTTGGACTGGATATAGGCACTTGCAAGCCCATCGACAGTCGGAGTATCCGCCGCTGCATCAGGTTCCGCGCTCGTCTGGGACGCCGTTCGCGCGGTGGTTTCGCGCGCTACTGCCGGCGAAGCGCCTGCTGCGGAACGGGGGTATACGACGCGGGAGCCCTTGTCCGTTCTATAGGAGAACGCGAACACACCGCTAGAGTCTAGTGTAGATGGCGCAGGTCGTGAGGAATACGGGGTATCGGCGCCGTCGGGTTGAACCGTGGTAGAGAAGATGTTCGCCCTCGGCGCTTCGCGCGCGGAAGGGCCGGGGCGAACGTCTGGAGGCAACAGAGGAGACAGGGGAGACAGGCTATCGGACGGTTCGCTTTGTGGGTTTGATGCGTGAAAGAACACTTTTGTAAGGTTCGGGAGTCGGTCGCAGGCAGAGAGATAGAGCGCAGGTATAGGTACAAAGGGATCGGAGACTTGGGTATAGGCGCAGATGCGCGGAACGCCGCCGTCCATCTCGATGATGACGGCGACTTCTTCGCTACCATCTTCAAATGGTAGGCTCGGGTCGGACAGGCTCGGGGTTAGGACGGGCTCGAAAACGAGCACGTCCCCGCGGAATGGTGGGGATCGTCGCAATTTGTCCGGTGTTGGGGCATTCGATAGTGATGGTCTGGTCTTCGTTGTCAAAGTTCTTGATGACGCTCTTGGTTAGAACGTCGAAGGGCCTTCCAAGCAGCATGTCGTATGCCGCATTGCGAACGACGTGGACCTGCAGGTAAAGGACAATCGTCGAGACCTTGAACGGCATGTTCCGCACCAGTCCGAGCGATTTCTCGACCTCCCCGTTCGCGGACTGCATGTTCAGCCGTATTGTGGGGTCGTACGATAGTCCGAGGTGGTGACACACGTGCTCTGACATCGCGACGATCATACAGCCAGGGTCGACGATCGCCTCCACGTACTCCTTGGTATCGACGAGGCCGACGATCGACCGCAATGCGTGCGACTCCTTCGCGTTCTTCAGCGGGGGACTCTCTCCAGATGGCGCTACATCGCGAAGGTAGACGTCATAAAGGTCGGGGAGAACGAAGCCACCAGGCTCTAGCGGCGTCCCAAAACACGAGAGTTCCTCCTGCTCCGTTTCGACCGCTCCCTGAGCCCCTCCAACGCTGGCGAACGCGACAGTTCGCTGCCCCGTGGGTGGGACTCGTCGTGGGGTGACCGCTTCGCGGAACTTCGCGCGGACCTCCGGCGCCAGCGAGAGCAGCTCCTCCGTCGAGACGTTGATCACGGGAGTCTTCATCATACGCTCAAAGACTGCGGCAGCGAGCCCGGGTTGATAGACCGGTGCGATGGTGCGAAAGGCACCGTCGCGCTCTTGTTCCTTCGGTTTCGCAGGTGGCGCCCCAAAGTTGCGCACATTCGGAGGCGCGTAAGTCGCATCGCGCGCTTTCGCGAAGGGGTGCTCCGGTAGCAGTGGCACACCTTGATCCGCCGGTGCGCGGTACGGGGTCCCTGGGCGCTCCTGCGGTCGCGGCTGCTCGGGCACCTGGTTCTCTGTGGTGCGGATAGTGGCGTCGTGTACGGACCGTTCGCGGTCCCCGGCCGCTACCGTTTCGCGGAATCGCAGTGCAGGTTCGAGATGCGGAGGGACCGGCCGAGAAGGCGGCACAGCAGTGTTAGGCTTTGGAGGCGCAAAGGCTGCTGAAGATCGCGATGGGCCCGGACGCGCGTCCGCGGAGCGTTCGCGGGTCTGTGGGCCAGGCGACGCGGGCCGCGAAACTGGCCGCGAACGTGGTTTCTGGAACGGGGGTATCTCCACACCGTCAAAGCGTTCCTTCCCCCTCTTGAGCATGTAGAGCTCGTGCTCCAACTGCTGGATACGATCCTCCGCTGTGAACTGGAAGCTGCTAGCCCACGGTTCCACGTCCTCCGCGATCGCAAACACCATTTGGGCCGCCGGTGCCGCCGGCGCGGGGTTCTGGCCTTGGCGAACACGCTCTCGCCGATGCCATTCATAGAGCCGATCGCGCATAGTCAAACCATCGAATCCAGGGAGCTGCCGCGGAAGGAATTGGCCAGTGGGAAGCACAATTAGACCTTCTGGGTTTCGCGAACACTTCCCTTCGCAGATATCGGTTTCCGCAGCTGGGCAGTTCCGCAGCATGTGGTTCGCGTCCCCGCAGAAGTGACAGAAGCCGTTGGGCAGCGCGTTCGTCGCGAAACCGTTCCCTCCCTGCTGAAAGCCTTGTGCCCCTTGCATCATGCCTTGATAGTTAGGCGCGGGGCGTGCACCGGCGTTCGGGGGCCCTAGAAAGCGGTTCGCAGTCGCGGCGGCGTTTGCGTTGTTGCCACCTTGCGCGAGGAGGCGAAAGAGCGGTGCGAGGTCCTCCACCTTAATGCTCGTATTTTCCGCGGGCACCGCGGTCTGAGGAACGGCTGGCGTCACTTGATACGACGCGGCCGTCGTTCCGTGCAGAATGAACTTCGCCGCTTCGTAGACTTTGGCCAGCTCGTAGGCCTCGTCCAGGTGGTGGTCAGGGTCCTTGAGTTGCAGTCGCTGTGAGACCTGGTCGCGGAGCGGATTGCAGAGTCCTCGTACGAACAGTCTTGACTGTTCGAACGCGGACATCTTGTTTTGCTGGATCAGGTAGGACGTCATCGCATAGAACGGCCTATAGAACTCGCCAAGCTCGCTGCTGGTTGTGATCGGCGCCCTACTACGGCTCTCCACCAACTGGTCAACTTCCGCGTTAGAGAACTTCCGCGTTTCGCTGGCCCCAGGGTGCGCTGCGTAGATTGCGGAGCGGAACTCCTCGAAGGACTTCGTCTCATCCTTGAATTCCGCCATCTCCTCGTAGAACTCCGACTCCTTGATCGGCACGTACCGCGTGACCCATTTCTTCTGCTGCTTCGGGTCCGTTACGCCCGTGATCTCGAAAAGCGTCTCGAGGTCCTGGAAGAACCGGCGGAGGTTCCGCGGCTCGCTAGAGTCAAAGGTGGGTGCGGTCGCGTGCCCGCGCGCTGGCATCGAGCGGCGCATTGCGAAGTTGTTCTGTTCCGCCATAGAGGACACAGTGGAGTGATCGCGCGAGTGAGAGGAGGCGCTAGGAGTTTGGTGTGTCGCGTTGCTGTCTGAGGATGATGGTTCTAGCGGAGTGAGGTTCGAGACCGCGGATTGCGGGCTACCGTATGGTGTGGCGTAGTTGAGGAAGGACTCCTCTGCACCTTCCGCAAGTGGTTCGGAGAGGATAGGCTGCGATGAGAGGATCGCGCGGTGGACAACGGTGTTCGCGGTGTCCTGTAGCCAATGGGCCGCGGAAGGGTCGGTTTCGAGTGCTTGGATACTTTTAGCGAGTAGCGCGAAGAGCGGGTCTACTAGCGAGGGTACTAGGTCAAGCACCAGTTGGTTCCTCAGCCGCGATACACCTCGTAGAAGCTGGTCCACGAAGTCTTGTTGTTGGGAGAGGGTAAGGTTCAACTCGTCGTCGTTTGTGAGGGTCGCGTTGGAGGCCCACTCGGGTAGGGGGCAGTTGCGATAACCGCGAGTGCTTCCGAGC